ACGAAGAAAAGAACGAAAAAAAAAAAAAAAAAAAACCAGTGGTTGCTACTTAGGCAAAAGTTGGCTTCTCCCCCACTCTATCCTCGGCCTTGAACCGCCACGGGCGAAAGCTGCCTGTGCCTCTCCGCAAAAGACTAAACTGGCGGCGCCACTCTCTACCTACCTATGGTCTGCATTTACCGCACTGGGCGCTATATTCTCACAAGCTACAGCGCTGCGGAGGCTCTTGTACACGCCCTAGGCGGCTTCACCGGCTTCAAGCACCAGTTGCCCGTCGGCTTTGGCACGAACCTTGTCTCATATAGCTGGGGTAGCTACCACTCTGGAACCTCTTGTCATTTCATCCTGCCTCTCATTTTCTCTCATTTTTTCTTATTGATTTCTTACTCTCAACTCAATGTCTCGTCATCAATACTGACAAAGCTCGACCAGATACCAAAACAGCCTTCTCAGCTGCCAACTCATTTCACAACGGCCGAAACAACTCTTATACGCTCCCAGCGATAGGAGCGCTTCTACCAACACCCCAGACTTAAAAACAACAGTCAATTTCGCGCGAAATATTCGCCTAGCATGGGTCTGCTCGACGATTTTGACGACAGAAAAACCCATATTGAAGCCGAGCAGGAACAATACCACCCTTTTGAGTACCAGACCGAGAACAATGGCTCGTGGGCTGGTGCTTTGCCGGTGAAGCAGGGTCTCTACGACCCCTCCTTGGAAAAGGATGCATGCGGTGTCGGTTTTGCTTGGTGAGCTTTTAATCAAGCATTCGTACTCATATTTTTACATGCTAACTCTGAGTAGCCACATCAAGGGCAAAGCTAGCCACAAAATTGTCAGTGATGGTAAGTCAACTCTCACCATAACTCGTTCAACCCCCCCCTTCATTGTATCACAACTAACACAAGGCATCAGCACGCAATCTGCTTTGCAACATGACTCACCGAGGAGCCGTTGGCTCCGACGCCAGAGACGGCGACGGCGCCGGTGTCATGACGTCGATCCCCCACCGCTTCTTCATCAAAAACTTTGAAAAAGAGGAAAATATCAAGCTACCCCAGCTGGGCCAGTATGCCGTCGGCAACCTCTTCTTCAAGCCCGACGAGGAGACGTTTGAAGAGTCCAAGAGGCAGCTGGAAGACGTTGCCGAGTCCTTGGGCCTGCGCGTCCTCGGCTGGCGTCGTCCGCCTGTCGACTCGACTCTCCTCGGTCCCGCGGCCAAGTCGCGCGAGCCCATTATTGCCCAGCCCTTTGTCGTTCTCGCCTCGGCCTATGGCACTGGAGTCGAGCCCGAGAATACGGACCCGGCGACCTTTGACGAGCGCCGTTTCGAGCGCCAGCTCTTCATCCTCCGCAAGCGTGCCACCCACACCATTGGCCTGCATAACTGGTTCTACATCTCCTCCCTCTCCAACAAGAACATTGTGTACAAGGGTCAGCTAGCCCCCGTCCAGGTCTACTCCTACTACCATGATCTTGTCAATGCCGACTACGAGGCGCACTTTGCCCTTGTCCACTCGCGTTTCTCTACCAATACTTTTCCGTCCTGGGACCGTGCCCAGCCGCTGCGCTGGGCCGCCCACAATGGCGAGATCAACACTCTGCGCGGCAACAAGAACTGGATGCGTGCCCGCGAGGGTGTCATGCAGTCCGACATCTTCAAGGAAGAGCTTGAGGAGCTGTACCCTGTTGTCGAGGACGGCGGCTCCGACTCGGCCGCTTTTGATAATGTGCTGGAGCTGTTGACCATCAACGGCGTCCTGTCTTTGCCCGAGGCCGTCATGCTCATGGTCCCCGAGGCCTGGCAGGGCAACGAGCACATGGATCCCAAGAAAGCTGCTTTCTACGAATGGGCAGCCTGCCAAATGGAGCCCTGGGACGGTCCCGCGCTCTTTACCTTTGCCGACGGCCGCTACTGCGGCGCCAACCTTGACCGCAACGGTCTGCGGCCGTGCCGCTTCTACGTCATGGACGACGACCGCATCATTTGCGCGTCCGAGGTCGGCACCATTCCCGTTGAGCCCGAGAGTGTCATCCAAAAAGGCCGCTTGCAGCCCGGACGCATGCTTCTCGTCGACACCCAGGCGGGCCGCATCATTGACGACAAGGAGCTGAAAGAGGCCGTCGCCAGCCGCCAAGACTTTCGCTCCTGGATTGATCGTGAACTCGTGACTATGCCCAAGGTGCTCGAGGAACTGGAGCCCAAGATGGACCTCGCGGCCAAGCCCAACGAGACGCTGCTCCAAGAGGACCCCATGCTACTCTCCTTTGGCTACACCCACGAGCAGGTCTCTTTGCTGCTCGCTCCCATGGCGGCCGACGAAAAGGAAGCGCTGGGCTCCATGGGCAACGATGCACCGCTGGCGTGCCTCACGCAGTCGCCCCGTCTGCTCTACGACTATTTTCGCCAGCTCTTTGCGCAGGTCACTAACCCGCCCATCGACCCCATTCGAGAATCCATTGTCATGTCGCTCGAGTGCTACGTCGGTCCGCAGGGCAACCTGCTCGAGATGGACGCCTCGCAGTGCGGCCGTCTCTTGTTGCCCAGCCCCATTCTGTCCATTCCCGAGTTCAACGCGCTCAATAAGCTGTCCACCATTCGCCCCGAGTGGACGGTGCGCACCATTGACCTGACTTTCCCCAAGTCTGAGGGTGTTGAGGGCTACATCAAGCACCTCGATGAGATTTGCAATGAGGCGACGGCTGCTATTGAGGCGCATGATCGCATCATTATACTCTCTGACCGCAACACCTCCAAGGACCGCGTTCCCGTCTCAGCGCTTCTCGCATCCGGCATGCTTCACCACCACCTTGTGAGTAACAAGTGGCGGTCTATGGTCGCCCTCATTGTAGAGACTGCTGAAGCTCGCGAGGTGCACCACATGTGCGTCCTGCTTGGCTATGGTGCTGATGCCATCAACCCTTACCTGGCCATGGAGTGCATTCTCAAGCTCAACCGCGAGAAACTCATCAAGAAGAAGCTGTCTGACGACACTCTGATTCACAACTACAAGCACTCCTGCGACGGCGGTATCCTCAAGGTCATGAGCAAAATGGGCATCTCGACCCTTGCTTCCTACAAGGGCGCTCAGATTTTCGAGGCGCTTGGTCTCGACGAGACCATTGTCGAGCGCTGCTTCCGCGGCACCGCGTCCCGCATCCAGGGCCTCACTTTTGATCTCCTTGCCGAGGATGCGTTTCGCTTCCACGAGCGCGGCTTCCCCTCGCGCTACACAGTCGACATCAAGGCGCTGCCCGAGTCGGGCGAGTACCACTGGCGCGACGGCGGCGAGGCGCACGTCAACGATCCGACGTCTATTGCCAACATCCAGGATGCCGTGCGCACCAAGAACGACAAGTCCTACGAGGCCTACTCGCGCTCCGAGTACGAGCAAATCAAGAACTGCACCCTCCGCGGTCTGCTGGATTTCAAGTTTGAGGACCGCACCCCGGTGCCCATTGACCAGGTCGAGCCTTGGACGGACATTGTGCGTCGCTTCTGCACCGGCGCCATGTCGTACGGGTCTATTTCCATGGAGTCGCACTCGACCCTCGCCGTGGCCATGAACCGCCTCGGCGGCAAGTCCAACACGGGCGAAGGTGGAGAGGACCCGGAGCGCTCCGAGCGCATGCCCAACGGCGACACGATGCGCTCCGCCATTAAGCAGGTGGCTTCCGGCCGTTTCGGTGTTACCTCTGCGTACCTGGCCGATTCTGACGAACTGCAGATCAAGATGGCGCAGGGTGCCAAACCTGGCGAGGGCGGTGAGCTTCCCGGCCACAAGGTGTCCAAGTCGATTGCCCGGACCCGGCACTCTACTCCCGGCGTGGGACTCATTTCTCCGCCGCCGCACCATGACATTTACTCGATTGAGGATCTGAAGCAGCTCATTTACGATTTAAAGTGCTCGAGCCCACGCTCACGAGTTTCCGTAAAGCTCGTGTCGGAAGTTGGAGTCGGTATTGTTGCCTCTGGTGTCGCCAAGGCCAAGGCCGACCACATTCTCATCTCTGGTCACGACGGCGGTACTGGTGCCTCGCGCTGGACTGGAATCAAATATGCCGGTCTTCCATGGGAACTGGGTCTCGCCGAGACTCACCAGACGCTTGTTCTCAACGATCTCCGTGGTCGTGTTGTGGTGCAGACGGACGGTCAGCTCCGCACCGGCCGCGATATTGCCATTGCCTGTCTGCTGGGAGCCGAGGAATGGGGCTTCGCCACAGCGCCTCTTATTGCTATGGGATGCATCATGATGAGAAAATGCCACTGTATGTCTGATATCCCATCTCTTGACGGCTTCGTAAACGACTTTTTTGCTAACTTGTACTGTAGTGAATACGTGCCCTGTCGGCATCGCTACCCAAGACCCGGAGCTCCGCGCCAAGTTCCAGGGCACACCGGAACATGTCATCAACTTCTTTTACTACTTGGCGAATGAGCTCCGTGCCATCATGGCTCAGCTTGGCTTCCGAACCATCAACGAGATGGTTGGCCATGTTGAAGTGCTCAAGATGCGCGACGATTTGCGCACCAAAAAGACTGCCAACATTGACCTGTCCCTGCTGCTGACGCCCGCTCACAAGCTGCGTCCTGGTGTGGCTACTTTCAACGTCCGCAAGCAGGACCATAAGCTCTACGTCCGTCTGGATAACAAGCTCATCTCCGAGGCCGAGCTCACCCTGGATAAGGGCCTGCCCTCGCGCATCGAGTGTGATATCGTCAACACGGATCGTGCCATGGGTACTTCATTGTCCTACCAAATCTCCAAGCGCTACGGCGAGTCTGGTCTACCCATGGACACTGTTCACGTCAACATCAAGGGCTCCGCTGGTCAGTCCTTTGGTGCTTTCCTTGCGCCCGGTGTCACGCTGGAGCTGGAAGGCGATGCCAACGACTACGTCGGCAAGGGTCTATCCGGTGGCCGTCTCATCATCTACCCACCCCGCTCTGCCCAGTTCAAGGCGGAAGAGAACATTCTCATTGGCAACGTCTGCTTGTATGGTGCTACCACTGGTACCTGCTTCTTCCGTGGTGTTGCCGCCGAGCGTTTCGCTGTCCGTAATTCCGGCGCCACCGCTGTCGTCGAAGGTACCGGTGACCATGGCTGTGAGTACATGACTGGTGGCCGTGTGCTCATTCTCGGTAGCACTGGCCGCAACTTTGCTGCCGGCATGTCTGGTGGTATTGCTTACATCCTTGATGTCAACCGTGACTTTATGGGCAAGCTCAATACCGAAATGGTTGAAGCCGGCCCTCTCGAGGACCCTGCTGAAATCGCCTACGTCCGCGGTCTTATCGAGGACCACCATCACTACACTGGCTCGGAGCTCGCCGCCCGCATCCTTGTAGACTTTAACCGCGCTCTGCCCCGCTTCATCAAGGTTCTTCCCGTTGACTATAAGCGCGTCCTGGAGGAAGAGGCGGCCAAGGCCAAGGAAGCTAAACGTGCCGAGTATAACCTGCCTGCCGTCGCCGGTGTTCCCTCGCACCCTAAGAAGGAGGGTGAAAAGGCAGCCAAGCTGCAGGATCTCGAGGAGGCAATTGGCGACAATGCCGTTGAGAAGAAGCGAGCTCTGGTGCTGGACAAGACCCGTGGCTTCATGAAGTACTCCCGCCGCTCCGAAAAGTACCGTGCGGCATCTGCGCGCACCAAGGACTGGGCGGAACTCAGCTCGCGACTCAACGAGGATGAGCTCAAGTACCAATCTGCGCGCTGCATGGACTGTGGTGTTCCGTTTTGCCAGTCGGAGACGGGCTGTCCCATTTCCAACATTATCCCCAAGTGGAACGAGCTCGTTTTCCAGAACCAGTGGAAGGATGCCCTCAACCGTCTGTTGATGACCAACAACTTCCCCGAGTTCACCGGCCGCGTCTGCCCAGCTCCCTGCGAAGGTGCCTGCGTTCTCGGCATCAACGAGGACCCCGTTGGCATCAAGTCCATCGAGTGTGCCATCATTGATCGTGGTTTCGAAATGGGTTGGATGGTGCCCCGCATCCCCGAGGTGCGCACCGGCAAGAAGGTAGCCATTATTGGCTCCGGCCCTGCCGGCCTTGCGGCCGCCGATCAGCTCAACCGCGCGGGCCATCTCGTTACCGTTTACGAGCGTGCCGATCGCCTCGGTGGTCTCCTCATGTACGGCATTCCCAACATGAAGCTCGACAAGCGCATCGTCAAGCGCCGCACCGACTTCATGGCGGACGAGGGTGTTATTTTCAAGACTGGTGTCGCCGTGGGTGAAGACGGTCACCCCAGCCTGGAGAACCTACGTGCCGATAATGACGCCGTCGTTATCGCTACAGGTGCCACTGTCGCGCGTGACTTGCCCATCAAAGGCCGCGAGCTCGAGGGCATCCACTTTGCCATGGAGTTTCTGCACAAAAACACCAAGTCGCTGCTGGATTCGGAGCTGGCGGACAACTCATACATCACGGCCAAAGACAAGCACGTCGTCGTTATTGGCGGAGGCGACACGGGCAACGACTGCATCGGCACGTCGGTCCGCCACGGCGCCAAGTCGGTGACCAACTTTGAGCTGCTGCCGCAGCCGCCCGACGAGCGCGCCCGTGATAACCCCTGGCCGCAGTGGCCGCGCATCTACCGCGTCGACTACGGCCACACCGAGGTGCGTCAGCACACGGGCAAGGACCCGCGCGAGTACTGCATCATGTCGGAGGAGTTTGAAGGCGATGGCAGCGGCAAGGTCAAGGGCATCAACACCATCCGTGTCGAGTGGACCAAGAACCCGAGCGGCGGCTGGGACATGAAGAAGATGGACGGCTCCCAGCAGTTCTTCCCGGCGGACCTGGTGCTGCTCGCCATGGGCTTCCTGGGGCCCGAAGCCCGTGTCTTGGGTGAAGAGGTTGAGAAGGACGCGCGCAAGAATGTGAAGACGCCACCTGGAAAGTATTGCACCAATCTGGATGGTGTGTTTGCGGCGGGCGATGCGCGTCGCGGACAGTCGCTGATTGTGTGGGGTATCAACGAGGGCCGCATGGCTGCCCGCGAGGTTGACTTGTTCCTGGAGCAAAACACCAACCTACCTGTGACGGGTGGCCTGGTCAAGCGAAAGGCGACTGAGATTCTGGGCCGTGTTGCGACGACCAAGGTAGCTGCGTAGAGGTATGAAAAAGTTGTTCAGGAAGAAGAAAAAAAAAAAAAAGGTTGAAAAGGCGAGAGAAAAAAAAAGCAGAAAAAATCAGGCGAAGGACGTTTTACACGTGGAAAAGAAGAGGCTAGTTCTAGCTTATTTGATACCCGTTCAAGTTTTACATGGCAAATTTCTTTACTTTGACTCTGATCTTGCATTTGGGTATGAATTTCTTTCTACTACCATGGTTGCTCTAACAGTTCTTGTGTGAGGATATGCTTATTGCAAGGGTTATATTGTATGGCCTGTAGTATTTGCGGTTTCCAAGGAGCTGAGTATTGACATGACATTGTTCTATATTTGCGTATCGAGTACCGAGGCGGTATATTTTCCACTAGCTGTAACTTGTGAATGCTTCAAGGCGTCCGTATTTACAGAGTGGGAGCCGCATTAAGAGTGGTTGTGACGGTTGTGGTCTATGCAAACATGTCAGTACACACTCCAACCATGTCCAAAGGCGAGTAGAGTATTGGATTCAGAAGAAGGAAGGGAGGGCCCTTACAGGTGTAATCGTGACTGCGTCGCCAGGAATGCCCCAGCACGAGCAGGCGCTAGCATAACGGACAGTGCCCGAGCAGGCAGAAGCGTACCACGGAGGGGCAACAGTAGAGGTAATGGTCCTGGTATAACAGAGTGTTAGGCAAGCAAGATACGCGTCAATGTGTCAGTCAAGTTGTGCTTACATAGCCGGTGCGGTAACAGTCTTTTGCATAAAGCGACTGCAATCGCCTTGAGCGGAAGAGACAAAGTCATCACCGCGCCGGGTGCCAGTGACTGCTCTGGCGCAGTTGTCGGCATTACACTCAGTGGCGAGAGCGCAAGGCAACAGGGCCAGAGCGACGATGACAAGACGGTTCATGATGAATAGAAGTAGAATATGCGTTTTTAAGAAGAGCAGTTTTTTCAGTTTTGAACTACTTGGTAATTTAGGCAAAGAAAGCTCAATTATATATGTAGAAGCAGAAGGCTGTTGCGCATCACTTACACGAATTCGCTATGACTACTATTAACACAACGCTAGCCATATGTGCTTCAGATGCGCTGTTGGGACCAATAACGGCGCATATGCGCAATACTCAAGTTTGCCAATCTCGCGATTCTATTCTGTGTTGTACTCAGCTTCAAGCCTTGTGCGCTTTGTCTGCCGACATGTGGCGCTTGCTTGTATTGAGTTGTCAAGTCTAGAACGGGCAAGGCTTTCAGAGGCGGCGCCTCCAAAGCAAGGTTAGGGAATTAGCAAGGCTTTTACACGAGGCTTCCAGCTGGGTGCAGGGCTGCAGCGGGCGGCGAGTCACTAGTCTTGTCAATAGTCTGAGTTTGCAACTCACTCGTTGGTTAATGCCAGGGTAACCGGACATTATACGTCAATGCTGTAGATACGCTCCCACAATGAAGGCACTAATTGGCGAAATCCTTCATGAGCATAGTTGGGTAGACACAGCCAGAACCAATGGCCATGCTATGGCTGACCTCTGCGCTGGCCCGACGCTTTGGACCCAACTCTTCTAATAATACTTGTAAGCGCCACCCATCTGGTAGCGGCAGACGATAAGCTGGCGCCCGAGCCACGGGTCGTTACAGTAAACCTTGGTCAAAATTTTGACGGAGCAAGCTTTATGCCTTTGATGCTGCACAAAAGAACAAAGTGTGCATAGAAGTATGGTAACATCCTGTAAGCAGGTTCCTGAAGTAAGAAAATACAGCATGCAGGGTCTGAAACATGCGAGCAAATGACTGTGTTAGCCCACCGTATGACCGGCTTTACGGATACCATTTTGGGTTTACTTCCGCAGCGGTGAGCGAGGCCCATCTGTTGGGGAGAATTTTGGGACAACGTGGAGAGGCCATCGTCAGCCGCAATCTACCCGCATTTCAAGTCTTGTTCTCAGCCACGTATTTTGGTCGGGTCAAGCTGATTGTTTGAAAGGTGGGCAGAACTTGGGGACCAGCTGAGGACATTATGAGAGCCCAAGCATGGTGATTTCAATGCGTACCTGATTGCAGTCTATACCGACGGGTGGCATCCGTAGTCGCTTCAAATAATGGCGACTCATAATTCCTTCCTATTGCGGGTAATCCTCCTTGGTATTGTCGGCGATCAGGTTAAACATTGGCTTGGCAGAGAATTAGCTAGAGGCGTGTTGGCTGAGCGTCTCACAGGTCTCCTGGGCTTCGGCGTGGCTGACTTCTTCAAGCGTAATACCCGGGTGAGCACAAGCGGCCATGGCAATAAGCTAATAAGAGTGACAGAGGCTTTTAAGCGCGAAAAAATTAAAAGACATCGGCCCCGATGGAGGCGCCAGCAGTCAGCAGGCCGTGGTTACGCAGGATAACAGCACTTTGGCCACCAATAGTATCGGCGATGGCGTTCCTCTCGGCGCTGCCCAATACGATGCCTCGAAATTACTGGTAGAATGCAATGCCATTATAGAAGTAGACATCCTGAGGCTGACGTCGGATAATGCCCTGCCGTAAACAGAGTGCGCATGAGCGGCACATATGACATCGGGGCGTGCACGTTGCACGAAGATTATAAAAGACCTCCTTGTCTATCGAGAGGTAGCATAAAGATTATAGTTATAATTAGATGCACACTTGAT